GCCACAGCTTCTCTGGGCACCCTGTGCCAGCGCCTCAGCACCCTCACAGGGAACAGCTTCAGCCCAAGAGCTCATCTCCATCTCCCCTCTGGCAGGTTCAAGCCATTCCCCTTGTCCTGTCCCTCCATCCCTTGTCCAAAGCCCCTCTCCAGGTTTCCTGGAGCCCCTTTAGGCACTGGAGCTGCTCTAAGGTGTCCCCTTCAGGAGCCTTCTCTTCTCCAGCTGCCCCGGCCCAGATCTCAGCCTTTCATCCAGAAATGAAGCTGCAATGGGAATAATCCAGCACGTTCCAGTGGCACTGGGCACCAGGTTATTTTTATTGCTTTATTTTTGTTGCTGCTGCCACTAAGTTAACTGGGGCATGCATTATCCATCAATAACGTCCATCGAGCAGCCTGAGCCATTAATAAGCCAAGTGCCAGAGGGCACAAAAACCTCTCCATCACCCAAAATACTTGGGTGAGCAGCGGGCCCCACTCACTGCTTGGACTTGGCGCTGCTCTGAATGTGCCGGAGCAGGTTGTATGTGCTAAGGGGGAATCTTCCTCTTCCCAATGTCTCATCCCCAGTGATCTGGGCACCAGGTGATGACACTGCCATGGGATGGAGCCCATCTGCAGGAGGGGAGCCCATGGAACCCCCTGAGGTCAGGCTTCAGTCCCGCCTGCTGCTCACAGCAGCGTCAGTGCTAAGATCAGAGCAGGATGCTCAGGGCTGTATCCCTTTGCAGCTTGAAAGCCTCCAAGGATGGAGACTCTCCCAGCAACCAAGTGTCCTCAGAATGAATGCTTTTTCCCCCTACAACACCCTATATGTCTCTCTGAAGGGAAGCCACGTCCCCCAAAGGAGCAACTGCGTCCCCACATGTTGTCACCTATAAGGAGGACAGGTCCCAGGATAGACCCTGAGGAACTCCACTAACCAGTGAGCCTACACAAGCAAAGTAAATGTCAAATCAATCCTAACAGAGAGGCAACCCCCAAACCAGCCAAAAAGGATGGAAACCCCAAACTGTGAGTTCAGCAGTGGAGGCATCAGGCGAGGACCTGGCAGATTTCTGTATCCTGGGATGCCCAGCCAGCCCCACCACCACCACCACCTTAAAACCAGCAAGAGCATCCTCCCAGCACTGCTGCTGTGGCTGGATCACAGGCAACAGGGAAGCACAATGGCAGAACAGCCCCAAGCAAAGGAATCCTTGGTAATGGCTTGTTTTCACGCCAGTCAGACAAACTTCTGGTCACCAAGTCCAGCATTGAGAAGAAGAAGGTAAAAACCCCAACCATGGCACCACGTGTGTATTTTGACACACAGAAACAAGGGGGCTCAGACAAGGATTCATAGAATCACAGAGTGGTTTGGGTTGGAATGGGACTTCAAGGTCCTGCCCGTTCCACA